CATCAAGCAAATGATAATACTGGAGATGTTACTCCAACTCGTATTATATCAGGTAATTTTAAAAAATTATAAATAATAAATATTTAAATATTGAATTTATTTTAATTAAAAGAATATTAAAAATTAAAAATTTATTTTTATATTTGTATTAGGAAATTTAATTAAAACTTATTTTGGAACTGAATATCTTGCTGAAGTTCATGCTTCATTAAATAATGCAGACCGTTTAAGATAACATGTAGATAAAATACAAAAAGAAATTAATTCACAAGGAACTGGTCTTCTTGGAGTTGTATATAATTATTCTAAAAATATTAATAATTTTTGTGAATATGTAAAATGTCTAGGTAAATATTTATTTAATTTATAATTTATATATTTATATTTAAATATTAAAATTTATTTTATTTAATTTATAATTTATATATTTATATTTAAATATTATTATAATTTATTTTATATAGAATTTTTCGAAGATAATCATGTAATGATTATTTGTACCACTCCAGAACAATTAAGTGAATGGGTGAAATGTCAATATTTTGAAATTGATTTGTCATTTAAAAGAGTTGCAGAGGAAATCAATGAATTTGAAATCAATTATTTTAATTTGGATCACAACTTAAGTAAATTTTATATTATTTTTTTTTTCTTTAAAATAATTTTTAATTGTAAATATATATTAATATTATATTATTTTTTAGTTATTACTTTTGCCAGAGTATTTACTAATTGTGCAACATCAGTTGCATATTACAGAATCTTTCATTCACTTTTTGATCTTATATTACAATTAACTAGATTATCACCTCAATTTAAACATATTTATGATAATGGTTGGGAATGTATTATTGCAGATTTGAATTATGCACAAGCAAAAGGGGGTGGAATGATATTGAATGAAATAGATAAAACAAAAGATTGAGAAGAATATTTAGTTCTTATTTTAAAATCTTGTCAAGTTCATTATAAAAGGTAAAATTTTTTTTAATTGTTATTATCAATGTAATTATATTAAATCTATTTTATTTTTATCATTATTATTATTATTGTAGAAAAATTAGAGAGAACAAATATGATGAAATTGTTTCAAATAATATACTTGCACTTCTTTCAGCAGATTCTGAAGATACAATTAATAAATTATTTGACAATATTTTAAAAAATGATGAAAATACAACCAGTTAATAAATTATATATTTTTTTTAATATTTTTATTATTTTAATCTAAAATATAACAGATATTTTTTTTATTTTTTTAAAGCTGGGTCTCATTTTATAAACAAACATGAGTCATTGGTTCTTTAAACAAAACCATGTCTAAAATTGATAATGAAATTTGGATTACAGTATTAAACAATACAAATGTAGCAGAAGTTGCTTATGCATTAAGCAATTGTCGTGAAAAAAATCTCAAACTAATAACAGCAATCAAACAGTATTTATATTATTATTATTTTTTTTTTTTAATTAAAGTTATTACAAATTGAATTAAATATGATTAATTTATTAGGGGATATAAATTAGACAAAGAAAGATTAATTGCTATTAATAATAACAACAAATACAATATACTTTTTTGTGAAAGAGACAAAGGTTCTATAGCTTGAAAAGTTGTATCAAATAAACGTCAAGGTAAATTATTTTTATTAAATAAGTTTGAAATTATATAATAAAATAAACTAATGTTTTATTTTATTAATTCTATATTTAATTTATTTATTAGCTAATAAATTGATCAAAAAAGTAAAAACAACTTTTTCTATATGTAAGCAAAATGAAAATGCAAGTTCCAGTAAGAAAAAACTTAAAAAAACTATTACAATTGAATCTGATATTGAAGATAATCAAAATGAAGATAATCAAGATCAAGAAAATACTGAATTTCAAGAAAAAGTCATAGCTTTAAAAGAGTGTCAGCTTGCATTAAAAGAAAGAGAAGCTAAACTTCGTGAAATAGAATTGAATAATCTTATAAAAGAAAAAGAATTAAATAATTAATTAAATAATAATTTAATAATAATAATTTTATATAGGTAAACATTAAATAATAGTTTAATAAAATAATAGTTTAATAATATAATAATTTAATAATATAATAGTTTAATAATAATAGTTTAATAATAAATATATTGGAATTATAATAATTAAATAATTAATAAATACATAAATTTTTTGACAAATTATAACATTAAATTTAATTTATAAATATTTTGGAGTGAGGTTCAGTTGGTTAAAAAAAATTTATTTCCATAAATAAGTCAAATTACAAATTTCAAATTGAGTACTGAAATTTTTTCATACACATTTGTACAAGTGTACTAAAATTTTTGTACACATTTGTATAATTTATAACCGTGTACAGTCTCATTAAGTACACTGTACTCAACTTCAGTTTTTAGAGTGTACACCACTTATGTGATTAACTGGACTCCACACCTTTATGTATTACTCTAATATCGGACATATATCAGATACCCAATAGGTGTAAAAAATATTTTATATATATCCAATATTAGGAACATACCATATACATATTGAATACCCGATATATGTATTATTTATCAATTTTCGACCAATTATCATAGGTCTGTTGAAGCCAATAACAATGGGTAAAAGATATATAATGATAACTACAGATTATGTTACCAAATAACTAGAAACCAGAGTTATTGAAAAAGTAGATACGAAAACTATTACTTAATTTCTGTAAGACGAAATTATATATAGGCTTAGCTATCCAAGAGAAATACTATCTGATAGAGAAGTAGTATTTGTTAGTCAAATAGTTACTAACTTAATAGAAATAATAGAAACTCATTGTAGACTTATGTCTACTTACTATTCTCAAAGTAATGGACTAACAGAATGGTTTAATCAAACACTTTGTAAAACTTTGAAGAAATGTGTAAAAGAAACAACCAAGAATGAAACACATTGATAGTTTCAGCACTTTTCACATACTGGACAACTAAGAATAGGACAACAAAATATGAATCATTTTATTTACTATATAGACGAGCTTCCATATTACCCATAGAACTTGATAATATTACTTGGCTGATTGAAGAAATTAGATAAAGACAATTTAAAGAAATGATTTGTAAGAGAACAAGTGAAGTTGTGGAAATATTCGAAGATAATTGAATTAATGCATCCAAGAATATCAAAGATACACAGAAACAGCAAAAGACAACTTATGATGGGAAAATTCGAACAATAACATACAAGATTGGTGATATGGTATTAGAGTACAAATCTGATTTATAGAATGTTCATGGTGATAAGTTTTGAGACAAATAGTCTGGTCCTTTCTTTATTTATAAAATTCTTGCTATATATTAAGAACAAATAGTGGAGAAGTTCTCAATAGTTGACCTGTATATGACAATCAATTGAAATCATATAAACAAAGAGGTTATCATCTCATATAAAATATGGGTATATAATAAACTTGTTTAAAAGAATTCATAATACTGTAAAAATTCCTGAAAATTTTTATCAAAATTTTTCTTTTTAAGATGAATAATATTTTAATTTCAAATAGCTTACGGAAGAGAGTACATGAATTACGTAAGAATTTTTGCAAGCTTTAAGTGAAATGTAAATTATTATAGACAATACTGGTGCATATTTGGTAACAGAAAATGTTGTAACGGAAATTGATCAACCTACTAATAATGAAATTATAATGTAATATAACAATATATTAATGATTTTTGTGATGGATATTTTTACAGCCCTAGAAGAACCAGATCAAGCTATTGATTATTATTTAGACGGTCTTTTACGAATAGTTATGAACATACATGGTACAAATGACTAAAGAATGAATATGTGTAAGAAACTTGGTGATTATTTGAAAGATACTTTATTAAGAAGTAACATGACAGTATTGAAAAGAGAATTACATGAATGATCTCATCAAAATGGATCATGAATTTATCAAATAGCAACATAAGTACAATCATTATTCCAGGAGATAGGAACACTATATGTCAGAAATTTTTGAAATGTTATATCAAATTGGATCTATAAGCTACCTAAATCAGAGTTCTAAATGTTTCTGCAACTATGTAAAACAATGGGTACACAATTAATAAAAGATCTTTTAGAAATGGATGCTGGGTCACAGGAGCTTCCCTTTGAAGGAGAAAATGTTTGTAGCAATTCAAATTGGTAATCAGGTGAAATGTCATAGGGGATGATAATTTGTGTCACTAGATGAACATTCAGGTAATTGTTATCCTACATGAGATGACTGTACAAGGACAAAGGATGAAGTACAAAGATAACCATACGAGGATGAAGGATGACTGTACCAGGATAAAGGATGAAGTACAAAGATGAGAAAGATAAAGTAAAAACAAAAGAGAAAGTATAAATATGACTGTTGTCAGGTGTAAGTTTTAAAGAGAGTGATAAGAATTCATCAATAGTTATTAGTTAATTAATTATTACTTAATATTACAGAATATATAAAATATTTTAATTATTAATAGATAGAAAAGTAAACTTACTTCAGGAACAGTAAAATAGATATCCTAATACATGATAATATTTCTGTCACTGAATTATACTTTACTTTTAAAAACTTTATATTTTATATTTTAATAAACTTATATCTTATGCCGTAATATTGCAGAATATTATTAAATATTGTTTGATACTGTGTTAACTACTTTTACTTTACCTTACTCACTGTGCCTTCATGATCAATTGATTATTATTTGATGATTATTATTATTATTATATATTTATTATCTGTTTCAAGATAGGCTAGTTAAATTGATTGTATTAGCTGTGACATACTGGCAGATAGAGCATATTATTATGTTTATGTGATGCAAACTTTGAGACTGATTTAAGAAATTGTTCGACATACTCTGTACAGTAGTGACAATATTGCGAAATTTTTCATGGACGTCTGAAACTAAACGTGAATATCTTGATTAATATCGATGCTATAGGAAGGAAACACACATCTGCATATAGCCAAGAACCAGGAATTTCGATCTATCTTAAAAAACATCTAAGTAAAAAATTGCTTCCTGTTCCGTGAATCATGAACAAATTCAAAAAACAAATTTTTTAGGTGTAAATTTCCAAAATATTTACATATTATTTTGAAAATTTATGTCTAAAAAATTTCCTGATGAGAAATAATAAATTAATAAACATGCTACTTTATAACTAAGTCTTGAAATTTTGTAACAAAATATTAGTTGATGCACCCATATGTATAGAAAGATACAAAAGTATCTTAAAAGCATTGACCAATAATTTAAATAATCATGTGATAATCAATACGATCCATTTTAAATTATCACATTATCTTTTATTTTTTAGATAATCATGAAATTCAAATTCAGACTACTCTAAAAAAAAATTTTTTTAACATTATTTATATAAGAATCTGATCAAGAGTTTGAAGTTCAATTAACTTTATTTCAAAATACTATTGTTGCTACTGAGATTTGTTTTATTCATCATTAAATATTAAATTTCAATTTCAAATAATTAAAAATTAAATTTATTATAATCTTAATTAATATTCTCAAAAAATAGACTGAAATTTTAAGTAAAAATACTCTTTTAATCATTTTCATCTGAGCAATTATTATCTAAAACTAAAATGTTTTCAATAGACTTTAAGTAATAAGCAACATGAGTAATAGATAATAATACCTACCTTTACTATCACCAGGAGATACTCTATTAGATCCATCTAAATATTAAATAAATAAAAAGTTAATAAAAATATTTATCAATAGTGGTAAATTGATTTTCTTTGATTTTTCGAGATCTCCTAATATATTAAAAATATTAATATTATTCTATTTCTTTGCTTTTTTCTATTTTTTTCCTCCTAGATAAATAGATAAGGTCTGTACTTCATACAAGAGATGTAATAATTTTAATCTTTGAGGTTACTTAGTATCATTTTTGACATTCACTTATAAAATATAAAGAGTTTATGTAATACGATCAGAATCATTTAAACAGAATTTAATGTAAATATTAAATAATTCTTTAAATATCAACCAATCATTTTGCCATTTTTTATAGATGATAATAAAAATGGTTGGTTCAAGTAATAAACCAATAAAATGCTAAATTTACATTATTTTAATAAAAATTCTTATAAAAATTTATTTTTAAATTTCAAAAATTAATATTGATTGTTGTCACATAGTTGTCTTTTAATTGCTAATTAAACATCAAAAATAATTTCTTTGAACCTCAAAGCTAAAAATTTAATACTTAAGCTGTAAAATTTACATTAAAATTAACTGAATAACAAGTGTTTAAACTTTCTACAAAAAGTTTTTAAAATTTTAAAATATTATTCAAACAATTTTAAATAAGGCATGTAAACTTTATAATACATGTATATTCAATTTATTATTAGCTTTAATATTTCATAATAACATTTCAATATTTGCCTAATAAGTAAAAGATTTACCTATGTAGTAACTATTAATATTTATTCAATTTTATTTACTAACAAATATCAAAAATATTATTAAGTAATCTCAAAGTTAATATTTTGTAAAATTTACATGCAGTTACTTTTGTTTTGATCAAATGAGATGCATTTAAATTTTAAAATTATTGTAAAAAATTTAAATATTATTATTCGGTTAATTTTAAATTAATTCCTTCTTAATTTTGAGTCTTCTTGATATAATTTTTGATTTTATATTATTTATATTTAATTTCCTATTATTGTTTAATTAGTTCCAATCAATTTTCAAGAAGATAGTTAAACATAAAGAGTAGATTTTTGTAAAATTGGCGGTTATTAAAAAAAGAAAACTTAACCTGAACCCCAGGGTTTAGATTGTTTATCCTAGACCCTAGGGGTTAGGTTATTAGATCTGGACCTCTTTCCTAATTCAGAAATACTAAAATTAGAATTTTTAGTTTTTATATTACATTTGTATATTGTAACACGGTATACAAAATTTTATTTGATAAATAATATAATGTGTTTACAT